TATATTTTCAGGTTCACTGCTTGCATACACACATAGAAACACACGCATGCACACACAAGCACACACAGCACCACTGTACACAAATTTGGCAGAAATTGCTATAACGAAACACAGTGACATTTGAATAGCAAATAAACAAATATGCTTAAGTACATGATGAGAATTAAGATGTTTTCTACTGTGGTTTAGCAGAAATAGAAGTAGCTTTAAGGAATTGTAAAGAACCATTATTTTTCATGTAGCCAGAGGGACATTTTGTAGATTATCGGTTTGTACAGTTTGCATATATGTGGATGAGGAGTTAAGTAAAGGGAAATAGATCAGTGGGTCAGAGAAATATAGTATAATGTAATTTATAACACATTTCAAAAATATTAAATTACAAGTCAGTCAATATTTGGTTTAGAATACGAATTTGTTTGTTTTGTGGAACAAAATGCAATATGTTTCATGGTGCATCTATACACAGGGAGAAGATCACAGCATTATGGATAATATCTTCATCTTGTTGAAGCCCAAGGCTCTCACTTTGTAGTTACACGTGGTAAAGCTGCACCAGGAGAAGAATCCACTCTGGAAATCTAAAGCAGAGCTGGTAATCCTGCACTCAGACACCAGGCTTTTTTTAGGAGCCACACACAGTTTGGGGAAGCTAGGGTCAGTCACCTGAGGAGAAGGCGTCATGTATGATGTAAAGATGGGAAGGAGTTCACACCTGATTGTCTTTCAAGGCTTAAATAGAAATGCCAATCATTCACATGAAGGAACAGCTCAACAACATCAGATTTGGATGAAAACCTCATGTTACTATGATCAGTGTGTGCATTTCGAGGAAGACCCAGAAGCAGCTGGCAATGCCATTTTTTGTATTCGGAGTACCTTATGGTTGTACATTGGGCCCCCTTTCGTTCCCAATTTACATGTAACCTCTGGGGCAAATCGTCTGCCAACAAAAGGTACAGTAATAAAGATGATAACTGAGATAAGAATGATTTGACCCAATTCAACCTAACCTTTCCTACTGAAGTCTTAAATTATGCCTCGCCATGGAAAGTCCTCTACTAAATCACTCTAAATCAGAGATCCTGGTCCCAGTAGGTGTTTATTCATTGCCAAGTAAAGTGCATGTGATCTTGGAGTAAGTTTTGACTCCCATTGCTTTCTGGTGATTAGATTTAAGTGGTGCAATCTTATTTTTGGCAGCGAGGTAGCGTTTTCCTTCAATTACCTCAATTGTTTAAGCCTGCCATATTCTAATTTGCCCTCTTTATGTACCTGTCACTCATGTGTGCATGAGATCGTGCTATTCGTGTGTTCACAGAACAATCACAATATCAACCCTCTAATTCTTTGGGAAAAACTGATTCAGCTCATTTTCTTCTTAAGTTTTTTGTTTTTTTTATCATTATTATTTATCATTAATTTAATTTCTAAATTAAAACTCTTGACTGTTTCGTATCTATTGTGACACACTGAGTACCTTGTTGTTGAAAAGTGCTCTACAAATATCTTTGTCATATCCTGGTCAGAGTTTTTATTTTATTCAGCCAAAAATTGTGCAGTTTCCTTCAAATCACCTATTCTATTAGTCTAATAATAATCAACTACTGTTTGTGATGGATTTCATGCATTTGCTAGCTAAAATAAATGACATAAAAAATCAGGAATTTAACTTTGAACACCAGATTAATATGTTAATGCCCTGTCAAATATAATCAAGTAATGTTTAAATGGCAATGAGTATTTCTAACTGTAATTCTTTACAATCATGTTTTGTTCTTGTTTTGCAAACATAATCTTAGAGATTGATGTTGGTTTGTGTCAGGTCACACATATAAATAGGTCGCCTGGATGAATACTGATAGCACCATATGGAAATGCTGCTGTGCAGGTCAAAAGTCACAGTAGCCAGGACTGGAAGGCAGAGAAATGTCAGATATTTAAACATGTTTGACAGTTGAAACCATCATTGACCTTCGAGGGGACTTTAACTTTAACTGGCTGCAGGGATTGAATAGTTCAAAATAATCCTCCCCTGCCAAACGTCACTCAAGCTCAGCAATAACACAAGTCATCATCCAGCTTAGCTCTGCTCCAATTGCAAAGACTGAGAGACTCGTGGAAATTGGTATGTTAACCAGCAGCCATGAAATCTGTTTTTTTAGAGATCAAAAAACTGGTGGATATGGGTAATTAAGCGTCCTTAGAGCCTGTTGATGTTCTTACACCTTCACTTTAGGTGTGAGTAAAAACACGTAAGGGGATTTGGTGCTAGGAGGCAGAGGGTGATGTGGGGTAACAGGAAGGGCAGATCAGGCGAGTTAAGAGTCGAGATCATAGAATTTCATACGCAGAGTTGATCTTGGACTTCTAATGACACTGACCTTCTATGAATACCCTCAATTATGTGAAAGGATCTCTTTAATAAAGTCCTCAATCAAAATCACAGACCTCCTATCTGAGAAAGTCTCGGGTATTACATTAAATCACCATTAACTCTAAATAACTCGAGATAATATTTGATAATTATGACAAATGTGTAAACAGTTCATTTAATTGACTGTGTTTTGGTTTATTTACCCAACACATTAAAAGAGGCACAACCCTTTTTTTCATTTAAGCAGATTTAACACCATTTGTAAAAGGTTATGAACATGTCACGACACTGGGTTAAGCAGAGTGATGATCATAAAGGCAAAGTTGACAGATTTTGCTTTAATTCTAATCTGGCTTTTATAGAGTCTCTAGTCTCTTTCGGCTTTAAAGATCGGCTATACTGGACACAAATAAACAAAGAACAGATTAGACCTAAGGTTCTGATATTTTAGAGAAGGGTCAGGCCAAACATGATATGAGACATCACAGAATTTTCTTCGGTATATTCTTTTGATGAATGCTTGGAAATAGAGCTTTAATTTTTCTGATATGTTTGAAAGTGTTCAAATAAAGCACGGGGGGAAGGACACAGAGCCCATTATCTTGCTACACTACGCCATATCCTTGGGAATGAAAGTATATATACACAAACACATATACACATATATATATGCAGAAAGAGAACGAGAGGCAGAGTATGAGCTATATGTGTAAAATTAGTGATTTGCTTTTATCTGGAATCAAAGAGATACTCACAAATCTATTAAACGCCACCTTTTGTTTTTTAATAATGCATCATACTGGGACCAAAGAGAGCTTTTCAAGCAAAATGTAGACTTTTGTTTTGAACAAATATAATTAGATTATTTTTAAGATACTCACAGCAATGTTGAAGCTAATTTGTATTTAGTAAAGTACAGTCCTTGATGAGCAATTCCCAGAGGCTGGTAGGCCCAGTTTGTATTTGGAACCAGCATAAAATCCTTGAATTAAAGAAAACTCATGGGCCTTGCAATTTCCAGAGATTGTCGACGGCTGGATAAAGAGATGAGAATAGATGTCTCTGTGGCATTGACTACTATGTTCTAAGGGATGACAGTAATTTTTTCTTCACAATCAGATACAGTTCTATAAAAAGGTATAGTGCCGTATTCAACATCTTGCATTGTTTTAGAAGGCTTGATTCCAATATTCACTGAAGTGCTTTTTAACTTTACTACCGTTATTTATGTTAAATAAGAATATATTTAATTTGTGTATTAAAAAGTTCACGTATGACACTGTCATGGAATGGATGGTTAAATTGAACGAGAATAACTGCCTCGCCATTGTGTACCTCAGCCAACCAGTCAAGTTGCAGGAAATATGATCACAATCTCCCTTCCTGTTCCTGAATTATGACTTACTAACAATTGCTGTTTACATTTGAAGAGGGCATTTTTTTATTTATATTTTATGAATCCATAAGCCTGCATAGATACTGTATATACTATTGAATACAATCTGCCTTTTATGAGACAAATGAAATCAGATGGTGGAAACCCCCAACAGACAGGATCTTTCAAATATTCATAAAGGTTAAAACAACTGTTTATTCTAAGCAGTTCAATGAGAGATGGCAAGGAGCTCCCCACTGCATTGCCATCTGATGCTGTACAAATGTATGCATATAGTACACAGACAAGCACACACACGCACGCACGCACACACACGCACACACACACACACACACACATACAAATCCATGTAAGAGTAAACACCACACTGATGCACACACACTTTTGTGCACATGCAGTTGTGTACGCCAACCCCAACACAAACAAGCACGCATGCACGCACGCACGCACACGCACACACACACACACACACACACACACACACACACACACACACGATTGTACATCTATCTCATTGGCAAAATGCATTCCATAGCCATTACCCGTATCTTAATCATGAAGAGTAGATGCCTAACCTAAACCTAATTCTAACCCTAAATAAATCTACATCTATTTTATTAAATAGTTTACAACATGACTGACAAAGAATGATTTGACCACCAGAACTTATATCAAACTGCCCCCCCCCCATAACTAAGAGGACAGAATTGCAGCTACTAATTGTGAAAACCATTTTTCCCCCAGTGTGTCAGGGTCCACCCTTTGAGATAAGTAGAGGAGTTCAAATGTCCCATGAAAGATTAAAGTAGAAGTGCTACGCTTTTCACAAAAGCCAGTTGAGGTGGTTCAGTCATCCTATCAGGACACCTCCCAGACTCCTCTCTGTGGAGGTATTCCAGGGATATCTAAGTGGGATAGAGCTCCAGGGCAATCCTAGAACACACTGGAGGGATTCAATTTCCCAGCTGGCCTGAGAAGGCCTCTGAAGTCAATTCTCGAGATGGAGTTGAGAAACACAGCTGGGGAAACTGATGCCTAGGCTGCACTTCATAGCTTACTGCCACCAAATCATACAGTAAAAAGTGCCAGAAAACTGGCACAAAGAATTGAGTAAAAATGCAGCAATAGGCAGACAAAAACTGCCTTTTCAACTATTATCAGCAAGAAATATGCCTTTACCTCAACTTACAATAACTAATTAAGTATCATATTGATGAATTTTCTTACCTTTGGTGGGACAGCTGGTCCAGAAGTATAGGAAGCCAGACTTGGTGGTACATCTGTGATGTAGGTCTTCTTGGGGCCAGGAGGCTGGTATGCTTGGGTTGGGGCAGGTTCAAGTCTCCTGGAGCTTAGCCCACCAACTTGAGCTACTCCTGGATGGTGCTGTTCTTGATATGCACCTTGACTCATGGGGGAGAAACCAGGCTGTGGTGGTCCGTAGGCAAAATCAGGACCTCTGGGCTGGGCAGGCATGTATTGCACCTGTGCAGGGCTGCGAATAGGCTGCTGGCCAAAATGGTGCCCTGCAGGGGCTTGATGCTGGGGGCCAGGCTGGGCTGACCTCACCTGGACGTTAAAGGTGGGCTGGCTTGGGGTTGAAGCTGTAGCATAGGATGCTGGGACAGGCTGAGGAGCCATGTGACTCTGAGGCTTGGCTGCCGGGCTGACAGAGGAAGGGGGGGTAGAAGAGACTCCCCCAGGAATCTGAGGTTTGGGTGTAGACTTCTTAGTTGCAGTAAGCGGTGGCTGAGTTGGAATGACCATGCGCTTGTAACCAGTTACAGGAGCACTGGGAGTTGAGGTTGCTGAGGATCCAGAGTTCTGAAAAACAACAGAAAAAATGTGCTCCAGTTAATGCAAACTTCCAGATAACTTAAGTTCACACTGAACATGGAGATGGAAATCAATTTTTCATGCAAGACAAAGAACTGAACAAACAATAAAGTGAAAATGTTTAACATAAGCAGGTCAACAGGCTTATGAAGACTGCCCTGACATGCTGATGTTAAGGGGCATGTCAAGTGGGTTTAATTCTTCACCATAATTTTAGTTCAACAAAATTAATAAACAAGCACAAGGTACAGTTATGATTCATCTTCTGGGGACCATGAATGTGAATAAAGTCTGTATAACAGTTAAGTGGGTGACAATGTAAGTTGGCTTGTAACGATGAAGTAAAAACTTTGATGAATGAAAACCTGCTAAATGGTGAAACTACAATAGATGAACAGCTATTTAATGATAAGGTAGTTTATGCTCAAATCATTATCCACTCGGCCTTCCCAGAGTCAATTACAAGGCTACCTCGACAGCAGAGGCTCTACACTGTCGCGATCACCCATAATTTATGGCTAATAAAGCCAGAGGGGAAAGGATAAATTGTTTGGCAGAGGAAGCCATGATAGCAGATTGGCAATGGCACATGACACTTGTGCTGACTCCAGCTGCTTGGATGTGAAAGATGTTAAATCACAAAGATTTGTGGCACTGGTGCTCCTGGGAAGAGACGGCTGTAAAACAGCAACACAACCCACTGCTGCGATTCTGACATCTGAAAGACTGAGGCATTTTGATCTCATGTCCAATGGTTACACTTGATGCACAAGAAAAACTGTAGCTAAACACAGCAGCTAATAATACACAGCGTTTCACTCGGATGTCAGAGGCTTCTGCCCTGGGTGTCTCCTCATGTAAGTAATAATTGTTTTTCACTACCACTACATATCGGTGTCAGACGTTCAGCCAGTCTAAAAAGGGTCTATCATTAACCTTGGATGGCCTTATTAGGTTATTGCCTGAAGCCAAAAATCAGAGTCAATTACTAAATTTGCAGCACTGGGGGAACAAAAATGAAAACTTGTAGTCTTTAGACCCTTTGCAACTCGGTTTGATGAGATGTCTTCTAAATTGGGGCAGAGCAACAATTCCGATCGATTTCCCTTAAAAGCTGATCAAAGCCTGCTGCAGAGAAATGTCACAAATAGCTTTGGTTTGCAGCTCAGCAACGCTCCCTTGAAACTCCTTGCCCGTACTGAGTAGAAACCCTTCTGTTGCAATACTATCAGTGATAAAGTGCACAGCAGTCTGTGATCCTAATAGTGTACAGAGATAAAAAAGAATTCCAAGTTTGGCAAAAGAGGTGCCTGCATCAACTTTGTCTAAATCCCATCTAATCTAAGTCAGAGGGAAGCCCCTAAGGAACCATTAAAAGCTCCAGAAAATATTTCCTGTTCTCACTCAGAATTCTGTCTCAGTGATTAGCGCTGATGTTTACTTAAAAAGTGTGTCTGTCTGCATATGTATGGAAAAATCTCCACTATGCCCTTTAGGAAGTGAAATTACTTAATTTGAATGTTTCATGGGTTTTAAATACTCCAGATTATTAATTTATCTTCAAGGCCTCAGAACCTACAGTAACACTTTGGTTAGCAGAGCACTGGAAATGCAAATTGGTCCCCTCAAAATAATTACACTGTCATGGTACATTTTCCACAAATTACATTAAGAGAATGGATTCATCTCTTTCTGGGGGTGATGAAACTAATCAAATGCACACAATCTCAACCAAAGACGTCTGTGTAGTGGCAAGAGAATTTTCCTATTAACTAAACGATCATTATAGCTGCTGTATGCCTTTGACCTGTCGATGATAAGGAGGGAGGTCAGAGATGATATCCTGGAAGCAATTTGTTTATTTGGCTATTCAGTTTGAAGTTGTTGCTCCTGTTGGTCCTGTGTGTTTTCCACCAGTGGTCAAATTTAATGGCAGCATTCATTTTGAGTAGATTGGGCAGCTCGTCAGTATACTGCCTCAATTAGGACGTATATGATGCTGTTCACTTATGTAAACCAAGTCCGTTATTATAAGACTATGTGTATATTACAACTTCTACATTATGCAAATATTTTATCTCACAACTATCTATCACAGCATCAGTATTAATTTGATGGGACCATGACTTGTAATTAGGAGAATGATGCCTCTTTCATTTCCACTCATTTCACCCAATGTGTCTTGTTGCACTGTGTAACTTCTGTAAATACTTAATGATCTCCCATGATGAATGCTAGTCCGTGGCTTAAACTGCTGGAATCAGACGCTGCAAGTTAAAAATCTAAAGCTTAACGCCAGATCAGTTAAATGTACAGTAGGTCACTTTGGCCACTGGAGGTCTTTTAATCAAAATAATGACTAAAGACCTAATTTGATGACATTGTGAAGCAGCATGGGATCATGGGAGTTGAGTAATCACTGAAAAAGTGAAAGGAAAAAACAGCTAACTGGCCAATGTGTTTTTCTCATTATAAGTCGTTGGCCCCAGTTGTTATAGCAGGGACAGGGAAAGCCACAGGTAAAGTAGATTTGATGCGACTAAAAGGCGACCAATATGAATTGTCCCCTTACTTTGAATCTGGGAGTTTGAACATTGTTGGAAACATTTTGGATAATGTAAGTACACAGGTCAACAAAACGTTAAACACAGGTTTAGTCATTTTTAGACATTTTAAAGATCAATAAAATACATATATCTATATATAAAAGACTTGTAATTGTAAATCCATCACATCATCTTATTGTACATGGTGTTACTGAGATTAGCGCATTAATACAATAGTAGAACATTTTTAAATGTTGTCAGGGTATGTGACTCTAGTCTGCTCAAAGGTGGCTTTTGTTGTTAATTACACAAATTGATGTATTGTCCCAGTGAGAAAAAAGTACTGTTATGAAGGCTGTTGAGGACAAAAGGTGATTGTGTTTACATGATGAGACAAGGACAAGTCAGATACGGTATATAAGGTTACAGTGACTTCATTATGTTTCATGATCCAGAAAGACAGAAATAAACCGACCATCTGGAAGACAGTAGAGTACTTACAGCAAAGAGATATAGATCTTTCATCTAATCTTCTGTCATCCCACAAAACAAAAAAAATGTATACTGTATGTACGTCTCTACTTTTCTGGCACTTTAACCCATCTATTTGTTTTATCACATGTATTCATGGAACAGTAATTTCATGTATGTCTTTGTGTGAACTCTCTTTGTCATGTGCCTTCGTTTTTTTTAATTTTATTTCATCACACCATGTGCTCTGATTTGTAGCCAAAAAGTGAAAAATAAAGATTTCTATTCTATTCTATTCTAAACTACAATGGCACTTAGTCGAAACAAAGTGCAAACAAAAAGGCCCAACAGTTTCTTCGTGAAACTTAGGCACATTGCTACAGTTATATACGGTCACTGTACGTATAAGGACTCCAGTGATATGAAATGCAGGTTGATATAAAGAGAATTACAATTTGGTGACAGACTGAAGGCCAAAGGTTTTGATCTTTGAACACAAAAATTCATGTTCATTAAAAACATAAACATAATTTGTAAGGCCACGGTGAACTTGACCTTTGACCTTTCACTACCAAAATGAGTTCCAGTGCATATCTGTGCAAAATATGAAGTTATTCCCTCAAGGCGTTCAGGAGATATCACATTCCCAAGGCAAAACAAAATATTTTGTGAGGTCACTGCTACCTTGACCTTTGACCACCAAAATTTAATCAGTTCATCCTTGAGTCCAAGTGAATGTTTGTACCAATTTTGAAGAAATTCCCTCAAGGCACTCTTGAGATATCACATTCTCGAGAATGGGATGGAGGGACTGACAACCCGAAAACATAATGCAGAGGCATAACAACAAAGGGTGTTCATGACAGGCAGAAGCAATGTGACGTAAATTGAACTGCAAACATTTAAAAAATAGAAATGGTTTTGGGTTTGTTAAAGCATGGTTGTGTTCTCGATATAACAATTCATTATGTTTTCAAGAAGCTTACACTACTCAGTTAATAGTCATAATGCAAAGAAAGGGGGTATATGCAGCTGACCTCATGAGGCACTGTTTAAAGAGTCCGACCTGAGATGCAGCTTCAGTCTCAGTGCACACTGTGTCGTTGTCTCCAACACCCCCTCCACACAAACAACAACACATAAAGTTCTTCCCAACCCCTTTGGAAAAGTGAACCCTAACTCTATGCTGTAATTCAGACTGACTTTGCAAACAACTTAAGTGTGAAATTTCACAGAGACTCTCAAGAAAGCCTTTTGACACATTAAAAAAGATTAGGAGAGACTATACGAGCCTTGGGGGGCTGAGTAAAACTGTTAACTTTGCATTTCAAACCACAAGGGTGGGGGATTTTTTTTTTAAGCAAGCTTGGGGAAAACCCCTGAAGAGGGAGAAGTTCTGCATCTTTTCAGACTCATCTTAGACCTTGGATATTTTTCTCTCAACTTTTTTCCTGCTCCTTATTCATACAAAGCTGAACTGTCGGCTCTACCAGCCCCGGTCAACACTCTCTAATCTTCCCTTCACTTTCAGTCATCTCGTCTGTGCACGATCAGGCACAACAGTCACATTTAACAATCTGACAGTTCAGTCATGCAATTGAGGATATCAATTTTCTTCCTAAAATAGTTCCAGATAAGCCACATTAAAAATGATTAAACAATGTCTCTGTGGACCGTGGCAAGACCTCTAGCTGTTATGAACTATCTTTCCATTTGCACTTAAACTGTGTTATACACATATTGAGAACTTTCCGCTGACATATCTCATATCTGATTCTTTTTTTACTCCTTCAAATGATTGTAGCGTGGAAATCCTCACCCTCTCTCGAGTGGATATTTCAGTAATGTTTTCAGCCTTGCATACATAAGGTAGAATTAATGTTTAATGGACGCCCTGTATCACACCTGACCTTGAATCCTCCAACTGTGACTAGTCACTTTCTGTGCTTTTATTTTTCATTCAAGTAGTCA